AGGAAGGAAGGAAGGAAGGAAGGAAGGAAGGAAGGAAGGAAGGAGGCGTTTTTGCTGCCTGGTAGCCTCAGGACGTGTGATTGTCAGGCTTGGCACCAGCCAAGTCACTTGGTACTCAAACTCCAGGTTTGGTGGGAGGAGGAGGAGGAGGAGGAAGGGGGGAGCCTGGGCCCGGCTGGCGTGTGAGCCTTGCCCAAGGCAGAAGGCAGAAACTCCGACAACTTATCTTGCAGAGAGGCAGAGTGCCAGGGGCTGGCGAGAGCTGCGAGCCTTGGCGAAGCCCACCGCCCTGCGTCTTTCAAAGCCTGCTCTTTCACCCGGTGGGCCACCCCAGCTGCCAGGCCAGGTTTGATCCTTTTCTGGCTCTTGGCAGCCCCTCAACAGAGGGGAAATTCCAGCAAAAAGAGAGGAAGGGGGTGGGGGAAAAAAATTCTTCCATTCGTTATTATTGCCTGTCACCGATTTTTTTATAAATATTGTGCGCTCGGTTGCTGTGGCACGACTCTCTGGGGAGGCCAAAAGGCATAGCAAAGAAAGGGGAGGGGAGATATTGTGTGTGTGTGTGTGTGTGTGTGTGTGTGTAAAGGAAAAGAAAAAGGAAAGGGGGGGGAGAAAAAAAAGCCCACACTTTCCTGGCCTTCAAATAAATGCTAATTTCTTTTAACGCAGGCGGCTTTTGGCTGAGCAGCGGCTGCAGTAGCAGGGAATACATATCAGAGGGAACTTGGGGGTTGGGAGGGAGGGGGAAAGCTGGCTGATTGTCTTTTTCCAGCGGATCTTCAGCTGCGGCTTTCATTAAGCTTGTTTAATTAGATTCCAGATGCTAATTTGCAAGTTGAAACCAGAGGGTGCGGGACGGTGCGCCTTTGAATCGCTGGCCTGTGATGTGATGGACTTTAGAAGGTAGACGGGCTGCTGCCCTTCTCTCGAAGCACCAAACCAAACCGCCTGACAATTAGCGACTGCGGGGGTGTGGGGGGGGGGGTTCCATCTGCTTTGATGGAAAGCGGGCCCCGGGCCCCCATCCCCCCCCCCCCACACACACACACCCAGTGACAAATTTGGGGAGTGGGGAGAGGACCAAGGCTTTTCAACCCGAAGGGCTCGGCTTGGAAGGCTCAAAAGTTGCTTCTCGCGACAACGCTGGGAAATTCTGTCTACCTTATCAGCTGGAAAAGTGGCCATAAACCATCCGATAGGACTTTCAGAGTCACACAAAGAAAGGTCTTCGGAGGGAGGGAGTGGGATTTACCTCCATGTCAGGTTTGAACTTGTTCTCAAAGACCGCCATAGCCGCCAGGGATCCAGAACCTGAAATATACCAAAGGAGAAGAACCATAAGTTTGTAGAGTGTTTCCCCTTATTCTTCAATCTTTCTCTCTCATTATTTCAATTATCTATCTATCCTATCTATCCATCCATCTATCTATATCTATTATATATCATCTATATATCTAATCTATCATCTATGTATTATCTATATCTATCATCTATCTCTATTTCTCTATATTATCTATATCTAATCTATCATCTATATATTATCCATATCTATATCCATTCATCATCCATCCGATCAATCTATCTTCTATCATCTATCTATATATTTATATCTATATGTATCTCTCTCTCTCTCTCTCTATCTCTCTCTCTCTATCTATCTATGTATCTCTCTCTATTATATATTATCTATATCTATTTAACCTATCTATCATCCATCTATATATTATCTATACCTATATCCATCATCCATCCATCCATCCATCCATCCATCCATCCAATCTATCTATCATCTATCTATATATTTATATCTATCTGTCTATCTGTCTATCATCTATCTATCTATCTATCTATCTATCTATCTATCTCTATTATATATTATCTATATCTATTTAATCTATCTATCATCCATCTATATATTATCTATACCTATATCCATCATCTATCCATCCAATCTATCATCTATCTATATATTATCTATATCTACATCCATCCGATCAATCTATATTCTATCATCTCTATATATTTATATCTGTATGTATCTATATCTATCTTCTATTACCTATTTCTATCTCTCTATTATATTATCTATATTTATTTAACCTATCTATCATCCATCTATATATTATCTATATCTATATCCATTCATCATCCATCCTATCTCTTTCTCTCTCTCTCTCATCTATATCTATCTAATCTATCATCTATATATCATCTATATCTATATCCATCCATCCATTCTTCGATCCATCTATCCATCCATCCATCTTCTTCTTCATCATCTATCTATACAAAAGAAGGAGGGATGACAACCCTGAACTATATAATATAGGTTTTGTTTTTTAAAAAAATGGAAGTATTGTTCTTGCTTGTTTAAAGGTAGAACCGTGTAGCTTTGACGTGGTGCTGCTCACAAGACAACCCAGAGCATTTTCCAAAATCCCAAGAATTAAGAAAAAAGGCCGAGGATGCAATTCTGACATCTTCCAGTTCGAGATAAGCGGAGGGGCACCGAAACAAAAAAAACCCCGTTGGGAAATGAGACGACCTCCAACCCGAACTCAGCTCCATTTGGGCTCCTTGGAAGGAAGGGAGTCGAAATCCCATCCGGAGCAGCCGAGTCCTTCAGAGCATCTGAAGCGGTTCTTCAAATTCTGTTTGAGGTCCTTCCTGGGGGGGTCACGATTTGGGGTTTGACAGGCAGGTAGCATTAAGACACCCGTTGTCAGAAGCTTTCGAGACAAGCACAAACTTTTAAACACGCTTACACCAGCAGAAGAAATCACACTCAGGGACCTCTAAGAGGTTAGGAGGTTGAAGTTAGGTAGCTTCACATTTTGCTCTTTTGAGCCACAAAACAGAGAAGACACACTGGATGAGAATGGACTGCGCATCCAATCAGGGTTCTGGCAGCTTCCAGAAAACTTTAAAACAGTCCAATAAAGGCCCCCCCTCTCTCTTCTAGCAAGTCCACGCACGCCACCAGCAAACACATATTTTAAAAAATCTTGGCAAACAATCCTTCAACCCACCTTAATCCTGCTTCGTTTCCCCCCCCCCCCCCCCCCCCCAAAAAAACCCCCGCCAGAAGTTAATCTGCCTTGCGTGCAAGTCCTCTTGGACAATTTTTCAGCCTGTTCTGGAGGTTTTTTTGGCGATGGGTGTGTGTGTGTGAGAAGGGGGGGGGGGAAACAAAGTCGCCCGCAATTTTTTATACCAATTAGAAGACTTTTTGGTGGCATTTATGACTTTTTAACTGGTTTTGCATAGCGCTGTCTATTTAACTGGGTCAGCTGAAGCTCCTTGAAATGATTTGTGTACATCGCTTGACCACTTCGATGGTTGAAGTACAAAAAGAAAAAAGAAAGAAGGAAAGAAAGAAACAGACACCGATTACACCAGCTTCAAATGAGGGGACCCGCTGATTTTATCACGTCTCCTGAATGTATAATGAAAAGGCAGGTGGCTGACAGTGACACCGCCAGAGAAAATGCAGACTATCTTTTCTCCAGCATTTAAGGGAGCCCAATTATAGATCAAGTTTCAAAGGGGAGAGGCAGCAGATTTACAGACACCAATCAAGAAACACGGTAACCCCAGGAAATGTGACAGAATCTCCTATTATACATGGCTGCCGTGGCTTTACAGGACCGAACACCCCACGTTTCTAAGCTGGTGGGGGGAGGGGAGGGGAGCCCCAAAGCATCTTTCCACCCTTTGGCCACAGATTGTCTGTTTTGGCCGCCAACGGATGCGTTGAAAAACAGGGGGGGGGGAAAGATTATTATTTTTTAAAGAAAAGGGACGGCAACATCCCTAGGAGAGGTCAATGGCCCAAAGCTTTAAAAGGAGAAGGAGGACGGAATTCGGGCTTGGGATAATGTTTATGGGGGAAGAGAAAGCAGCCCAAAATCTCTTTTAGCAAGATTTTTGAAAAAACCCCAAAAAGATGGGGAAAGGGAGGGAGAAACGGGAAGATACGCTAGGTTTTAGCGAATGAGAGAGGAAAAATTTAAGAACCAGAAGTCAAACTTCCCACCTATTGTTTTTTTTTCCATTCACATATTAGCAAAAATTGCTAGGTGATTTGTGTCGGGAACAACACAAGAGACCGTACAGGTAGAAAAAAAAGTGCAGCCTGGCCCAGCCACCTTGACAGGGCAAGACAAGGGGAGGTGGTTTAGGGCAACACCTTAATGGCGAGACCTAGGGTGTCCACCCCGTGAACGTCCTTAAAATGTTCTGCTGGACACAAGAGGCAGGAGGAGGCCCGATCTGGTTTGAAGCCACTGATTGAAGGACCTTCTACCTGTGTCCTCAAGTCCGTGGAATTGCTCCCAAGGTCATCAGGGTTTTTGGGGGGGGGGAGGGGAGAGAGGAGAAGAACAACCGTGTGACTTTTGGATCAAGGAAGGAAGGAAGGAAGGAAGGAAGGAAGGAAGGAAGGAAGGAAGAAGGAAGGAAGGTAGGTAGGTAGGTAGGTAGGTAGGAAGGAAGGAAGGAAGGTAGAAAGAAGGAAGGTAGGTAGGTAGAAAGAAGGTAGGAAGGTAGGAAGGTAGGTAGGTAGGAAGGAAGGAAGGAAGGAAGGAAGGAAGGAAGGAAGGAAGGAAGGAAGGAAGGAAGGATCCAATTCAAGGTTATCTCCTTTTGAGAGACAACGGGATGAGCTTCCTCACCAAGAAACCTTCCTTGAATCCTTCCGTGCCCCTACATTAAACCCCTTCCTGAAATCTCTACAGCCCCTTGGGAAAAATCTCTTTTTGGAGGGAGAGCCACTTAAAGAGAACTGGATTTCCTCGTCCCCACCCCCTCAAAAACAAGGCAACCACCCTGCCCTCAAGCTCCCCGGAACCTCTTTACGGCAGCGTCCACGTGCTGGGGGGAATCGCAGCCTTGTGTGGAAAGAGCCACCCCGCTCCTCCGATGTGTCTAATCCATCAGTGTCAAGAGCCCCTGACAAGGCACTTCTTCACCCGGCCTCATTGTTATTCAATTTTCGGCTCTTCCCCGATACGAGAATCCCCCGTGCTCTCTGCAGACCCATTGATCGGCATCATTTTTCACTCGAGTTGCTGAATGAGAGGCCCCGGTCTCCTGGTGGCACTGGCTGTTTCCGCGGACAGCCGCTGCCAATGGAGGAAGGGGAGATTTATGAATATGGAACAACTTGGGAAGTGCCCAGAGACCAGGGCTGAGCGCCACCGGAGAGAGCTTCTCGCTTTGCTTCCCGAGGCCCTCAAATCCAGACTTCCAAAGCCCCGTAATTTTATGCATGCATTTCATTACCGAGCTGTGGCCAGGAGCTTGGCTAGGCAAGCCCGCCATCGGGCCCGATCTTGCCTCGTTTGCTGAAATCTACATTTATCCTTTGTCAGCATAAAAACCCCTTAATTTGATGTTTTCACTCCTGGGTAAGCACCGAAGTAGGTTTTAAGCTCCGTTCCGAGAAAGGGCACGCCGCTCTCCTCGCCGAGGCATGGGGTTTGGATGCCCGTTCGCTCAGCCGACCTAGCGAGGGATAAGAACGCACGCTGGGCGCCTTGACGGTTTGCAAGCATGCGAAAGAAAGCAGGCAATTAGCATCCTGCTTCTCGGATGCTGGAAAATCATTAGCAGAGATCTGTACATGTGGCATTTGGCGTCTCCTGGCACAGATGCCTGGTATGTCGAAGATTTTCAGGTTTACACAAAAGGCAATCCCTCTGAACCTCTGTGTCAACAAAAAATAAGTGTCTCTCACGCATCTACCAAGGATTTAAATAAAACACTTGTTGTGTAGTTGTGTAAATGTCTATGGGAGATTCTCAGTCATTCAAGTCCTGGTTGCCCTCAAAGGTGGTTTTTTTTTTTTTTTTCAGAAGGCAATTGGACTTGGTTTTTTCCTTGAAGATGTTTCGCTTCTCATCCAAGAAGCTTCTTCAGCTCTTCAGAAGGAAACTGGACTTGGTTTTCCCTTGAAGAGGTTTCGCTTCTCATCCAAGAAGCTTCTTCAGTTCTTC